TCTAGTTAATGATGGAAAAGTGTGTGTTGTGTAACGTTGGATACCTAATAAAAGGATTTACAAACCTTTGTTTTCTAGTATTTGTGTTAATGAAAATAAATAAAATTTGTAATACCTATATATCCATCGATCCATTACAGTCTACAAAAGTCCACTGCTGAACATATGCCTTCCCCATAGATTGCCTCAAAGGGGGTATTTTTTCATAGTTGCTATCAGTGGCGAAGCTTCCATTAAAGCCGAAAAGCCGGGCTTGCCTTATTAAAACTGAATCAATATATAATATCAATCAATAATATCAACTAATAAGATAACTCATAAAATGTTTCAAATTAGTTCAATTTTCCCGCGCACTCCACTGTTCGACACATGTCGACCGATGACCTCGTATTGCCTTAGCGATACGTTTATACAAAGGTACTCTGTGGCGATACTGCTGCTGTCATAAAGTGAGTTTTAATCGTAGACAGAGAAACCTATTCTCTTTTCTATTCTGATTACTTGTTTCCCTCGCTCGCGTGGGTTTTTTACGGAGCTTTCGAGAAGACGATCGCTCTCTTTCTAACCTATGGCAAAATATTCTATAATGAAATATAACTACGAAATGTTTTTTACGGGGCTTTCGAGAAGACGATCGCTCTCTTTCTAACCTATGGCAAAATATTCTATAATGAAATATAACTACGAAATGTTTATATAGCAATTACTATTGAGCCAACAAGCCTGGCTTTGCCATGAAGTGGGGATGGTTGCGGGCCCCTCGTACGCAAGTTCACGTCACATTTCAATGTTTATGTTTGTTTTTGTTGTGTTTGTTAAAAATTTATGCTTTTTCGAAGATTTTCAGTAAAAATGGGAGGATAATAGTGTTCATTGTGATGAATATAAGCGTGTTGAAGTGCTAATCGGCGAGAAAAAGGTAAAAATCTTTAAAAATGAAATCTAATATTCAATAAACATTTCTTCATACTTTAAATATAGGTACAGGACTCTAGTATTAAAGTTTAATTAAGTTAGGCGTATTTAAAGGTTTAATAACTCAATATTTATATTAATAATGATATATGAGTTTAAAAATATCATTTTGTACGGTTTATTATGAATTGAAAATGAATAATTATAATTATAATAAATAGTCATTATTTTATGGTAAAAAATTAGCACAGCTTCATCTTCTCATTATAACTATCTAATTCCTGTCATAATCTGTTCCTTTATGCATATAACTTAAACAAAATATAATTTCGAGGTTTCACATCTGCCAGGCGTCCCTTTTTTAACTTTGTACGTACATTGTTTGTACTTTGTTCATGCTTTTCTTTTGTTCATGTATTGTATTGTTTGTAAATATCTCAAGCAAACCCAAACGGCTCTTTTCAAAACCACCGAAGGTGTGCAATTGCATATGTCATACAATCTATCTAGCGGTAGTATGCTTTGTGTGTGCTTTGTTAAACACGTCCTTGTCAGCACTGAATATGAAACTAAAGAGTGGAGACAGCTCAAGATTGGTGTATTTTTATTAAACTGCTAAAAGCAACAAAACCATATCTTGGGCTTGCCCTAGTTTGGAGCCCTAGCTTCGCCACTGGTTGCTATGGTTTAAAGGTGGGTTGGCAACTGTTGTTATCAGAAGATGGTACTGCCCATATGCTCGTGGTTACTTGTCAAGTTACATATGCAAGTTGTTATTGGGAGATCCATCACCGGTTTTATTTTGCCTCTGTCGCCTCTTACAACATCCACGGAACAATATGGGGTTGTATATATTCTTTCACCGCCACTACATGGTAAGAAATACCTATTAAGCAACACCTTTATTAAGCTGTCATATTCATTTTGAGCTTATTTAGTTAAAAGTATATAAACAAAGGAAAGTCGATGGATGCAAGTGGCTCAGGACTGTGCTTTGTGGCATTCCTTGGGAGAGGCCTAGTACGATCTGCAGTGGACTTGTGAAGGGCTGTAATGATGATGATGATTTCTACCTTCACTGCTGGCCATATGAGGGTGTTCAAAGTCGCTCAGCGAGCTGTGGAGAGGGTTATACTCTGGGTTTCTCTGCGTAATAAACTTAGAAATGAAGTTATCCGCAGTAGAACCAGAGTGACCGACATAGCCCAACGGATTAGTAAGCTGAAGTGGCATTGGGCCGGCCATATAGCTCGAAGAACGGACAATCGATGTGGAGAAAAGGTTCTCGAGTGGCAGCCTCGTACCAGTAGGCGAAGTGTAGGGCGATCCCCCACTAGATGCAGTGACGACCTGGTAAGACATGCAGGAAGTCGATGGATACAGGTGGCTCAGGACCATGCTTTGTGGCATTACTTCGGGGAGGCCTATGTTCAGCAGTGGACTTGTGAAGGATTGTGATGATGATGTTGTTGATGAAGAATAAGAAATAATTAGGATTAGATAAATAAAAAATTAGTGGAATATAAGTTTAAGTTTTCATGTGTTAGTTAATGTATAGCTTAAAATGCTTAAACTTGTTTGCATAATTAAATGTTTTAATGTTATTTGAAATTGGAAAAGTACATAATAGTAACATATTATAGTAATATATATTTGTAATTATTATTTGTAAGTATTTTGTTGTCTTCTGTGAGGCGTATTATGACACGGTAACAACATTTACTTCATAATGCTAACAATTTCCATATCCTTGTAAGGCTACTATAAATATTAGTTGTACCCTCAAACTACCCTTTTTATATCTGAGCCATTAGCAAGTAAACAATTGAAATGGTAAAGTGCACCTGTGCATCTGTAGATAGAGTTTATATTAAGTGAGGTAGTCACACGAATTTCAAATAGAAATCGCAAATTATGTCAATTTTACTAAACTACTATCTTTTTTCAGATTTACCTGTTTTATTCTGATAAATTGTATAAAAATGTAGGATGATACTGTTGCTATAATTTACTGCTTCATAAAAGAGAAGTACAGTCAGACATGGTATGGGACTTTAAGGACCTACTAAATCTTCTGAATCTTGCAAGATGTTTAGGTGAGTAGCTGATGCTAGTGAGTAGAGGATGGGCTGATTAAATGTACAAAATTTGTGAATAAACAAGTATAAATGTTTTGTTAAAGAAAAATTGTGAGTACAAAAAAGGTTATTGTAATATCAAAGAATACATAAATGAAAATAACACCCGGGAATGAGGTTGATTCTATTAAAATTCAAAAATTGTTTCAACAAAATTATTTTAAAGTGAAATTTGTTAAAAAAAGTCCTGTCGTTTCTTGCCGGTTCTTCCCAGGACTGGGTACTCTGAACCGATGTTATATAAAGAAATGACTTTCAATAAGTATTATGTAATATTTTATGTTTAATAAAAAATCATTCTACTCTATTCAATGAAATTGGGCGACTAGCTAATTAGTTGACTAGTCAGTTGAAAAAAAACCGAGCCTTTTGTTGTGGTTTATATTCCAAAATTCTCTTGTCTTGCTCAAGTGTACCTCTGTTATCCAGCTAGTACTGCGTATAACAGAAGACTTCTTCAAAGCTGACAATATGTACGAAACCAAAAGAAATGGATTGATGTCCAATTTGCTTCTAATTAAAAATTATTAATATTTTTTTTAATATAAGCAAATTGTGATGTCAAAGGGTTATAGAAACAGAAACTTTTTAATTCAATATTGATTGTAAATAATACTTATTGAAATCATTCCTTTGTTTAATTAACTGCTAGTTCGGAAAAAAGCTATCCTGGGAAGATGCGACCCCTAGTGGGATGTTCTTTCTTGAAGAAAAAGAAAACAGCTTAAACAGATCATGTATTTTTAATTATACAATTAACAACACAAAACAAGTTGAAAATAGTTTGGTAGCGATCAACTAATTTCCAGGTGTCATTATCATCAATTCCTTATTTTAGAAATTTGAGGAAGTCGCAATTTTGTATATTTTCTGGAATTTTGTTGTAAAAGTGTGTACATAGCCCCAAGAATGAATTATTGTCTCTATGAAGTTGTGTAACTGGTACAACTTTAGCTTGTGTCTGTTTCTAGTATTGACATAGTGAATATCACATATTTTTTAGATTTGTTATATTTTTGTGTACATGCTTTACACTTTCGTAAATGTATTAAGAGGCCAAAGTTAATACACATATTTTCTTAGATTTTTTTTAGAAACTAGTTTGTAAATCATCGATTGCTCTTGTGGCCCTCTTCTGCGAAACAAATATAATTTCAGTGTCAGTCGTATGTCCCAATAGCAAAATACTAGACAATATTATGATATCAAAACAGCTAAAGTAAACTAGTTAAGATGTTTCAACACTGGTAATCTTTTTTACAGCTTATGCTGCAGAACTAAGTCTGCTTGCTGGTTTTGATATATGGGGGTCTCATTGAAGTTTCGCGTCTAGTGTGATTCCAAGAAAAATGGTGGTATTGACAAGACTGCTCCTTACGTTATGTAAGGATTGTTTACTGCCCTAGGTAATATTAATATAAAATACTTACATTTTTAATCTAATTGTCTAATTTTTATTGCCGTTATTGCCAAATAATACAGTGAGTTAACATTTTTATTTCTACTACACCTAGATAATACTTTAATTCATTATGATAATACTCATTGTTTTTGTTTATTACGAGTGTTATGATACTAGTGTTTAGAATTTATTTTTATGTCAATTATAATGACCTATCAAAGATCTAGAGTAAAGGATGCAAATTTGGAATACCACTTTCTAAAAAAATCGTATCAGTCATGGGTTGAGAGTTTTAAGAATAAAAACTGCATTCAGTGTTAGAAAAACTTATCTTTTAATCAAATAAAAAATAATTGAAAACCTTGGCTTATTTTAAGTAGGAATTTTTTTGGTTTAGTCATAGAGTCACAGATTGGCGTAGTTTAGATAAAGTGAATCAAATTTGGAATAGGGTATTCCAAATTACAATCACCTAAATAATTAACTTTAATTAACCATTTAATTGGCCTAAATCTTGTAGATACAAGATACTGAGATCACTTAAATTAAAAAACTATATCAATGCTTATTTCTAAATCAATTCTACTTTTTTGCTTTTCTCTAGTCTTTGCAGTAATCACAAACATAGCAACCCGAATCATAACCAGCACATTCGCTGTGCACCCTTCGCATGTGAAGCATTGCACCCATTGTTCTTCCCTTTGATCTTCGGTAAATTTTCCATTACAGAAAAAACAAATACAGTCATTTCCTGTAGGTTGTGTCACATTAGCATAAGAGGGTTTATCTTCTTCTGATTCATCAGATGCGAATTTATCATCACTATCAGACTCTGTGTCTTTTTCTGGAAATATCTTTCCTTTGGTCGATTTGGAACTTTTCCCTTTTCCCTTTCCTTTTCCTTTTAAATTTCTCTTTGTTTTCTTTTCTTTGTTTCTATTTTTATACTCATTTTCAAATGGTTTTTTCAGTTTTTTTTCGTTTATTGCTTCTTCCAATTGCTTTTTGTAGGGTGAGCTAGAAATTATTTCAGATTTACCTGGCTTACGACCTCGATTTGATGACCGATATTTGGAAGTAGGAACTGGTGAGATTTGAAACGGTGTCACAATGGGGTTACTACGAGAAGGTCCAGGAAGATTTTCTTTTTCTTGTTCTCGCATTGCAATATCAGGAAGGTTTACTGATGGAGGATCTGTTTCCGACACAATTTCATTTGACTGTTGTCTGCTATCTGACGAAACATCAACATGACTGTCATCGAAACCTTGTAATAGGGTTGGTGAATGATTTCCAGCTTCATTTATGACTTGTGGACTTGCAGCGATAGGACTACGTGCTTCTTGTTCGTTTTCAGCAATGCCATCCGCTGATTCTTGTGCTGCTGCGAGATAGTCAGATTCCGTGAAAATATTTGTATTTAATGGATAAATGCCACCAACTCTAAAGCCATTTGCTGCAATTTCACCAGTCTGGCATTTTAGATAAGCTTTGCCAAATAACTCTGAAATATCGTAGGCAGTAAGTGGTCTATTGTTTTCGCGCAACCACATACGAATTTCTTCACTGTAGTAACTTTTTAGTGGCCCCATGAATGCTTTATCCATGGGCTGGATCTTATGTGTGCAATGTGGCGGCAGTGAAATCAAAGTCACATGATTCTGTCTAGCTTTATCTATGAGCTCGATATTCTTTGTGTGGCTGAAATGACACCGTCAAATAAGAGGAGAACTGGTGAGGATTCGGACGGCTTTACATAATCGATAAAATGTTCAAACCACTGCGTGAATAAATGTGTTTGTATCCAGCCAGAAGGATGTACTCGGATAATAGAACCCTCAGGAGAGCCTTTCTTTAATAGGTCGCTATTATTTTTGCGCGGGAAAATCATCATTGGCGGTACAAATATACCAGCTGGACTCATACAGGTCACCACTGTTATGAGAGTTCCCCTTTCAGCAGACGACATAGCTCCAATTTGCTTTTTTCCTCGGCGACCAATCACTTTGGGATATTTGCTTTGTACAATTGACAGTCCTGTTTCGTCAACATTAAAATCCTACTAGCCGTGAACTTTTTTCGTCATAAACTTTCTCAAGATTTTGATAAAACTCGTCCATTCTTGCTTTTGTAAATCCATTGGCTCTAGCAAAAGATGTTCCAGTGGGCTTGCGTATTGATAAAGTTTGCTTGTGCCTCGCAAGAAATCCTTTGAGCCAGTATCTGCCAGCTCTGTCGTCATGGAATGGATGGGGCACATTATTTTTAACAGCAAGTTGATATGCTATCCTTCTCATATCCATTCGAGTCAAACCATATAATTTTTGTTCCATAACAAGGGCATATTTCACCAACATTTCCTCAAAAACCTTATTAAATACTGGACCTATCTTTTTGGTCAGAGTATCTTCTAACAAACTGTCATTTTCTTGAACAAGTCGAAATAAGGTGGTTCTGGGTACATTATAAGTTTTTGCTGCCTTTAAATAGCCCATTTTCTTGTCTCGAACTGCTAATATTGCAGCAGCCATATCATTTTGACTCCACTTCTTACGCTTTTTATATTTACTGGCAGAGTTAGCAGTGGTCGAAGACATTACTAAAACAAAATTAAATAATATTGATCAAAAAGACTATTTGAATAAATAATAAATACTTAAAAAGAATCCTTTCAATAAGAAGTAGAAACAAGAAGGCAAACTAATGTGCACATAATTTGGAATATTCCAAATTGACTTCACCTATAATATTCCAAATTAGCAAAAGAACCATTTTTAACCTAAAATATTTTTATCAATGTGTGTTTAGAATAATTTCGAAAATAAGCCATGATTTCTACAACTGATACACAAAACTATAGATTTGTACAAATACAAACATGTAAATATAAGTTAAACTCAAGATGCAAGCCGATTTATTACTTACTTGAAAAATTTTCTCGACAGCACTTTCACTCCGATGCAGTTTGTCACGGCGCTGTCAATATGGCTGCTTCTCAGTCACGCCCTCTTTGTTTGTTAGTACACGGACTACGTAATACAGGCATTCGTTATTAGATGGCGCTTTTCTTTATTTTTATAATGCAGTATTCCAAATTACCAGCAGTATTCCGAATTACCATCCTTTACTCTACCAAAAGAAAAGTTCCTAATCTTAGATTATTTATAAAAGCTCTTATTGATACATTACAAACTGTAAGTTTGATTCTTAAATAAAAAATATTAGCAATGAAGATTAAGATTTCATTTCAATTATCCTACAGATTATTTAAGTATTTGAAATATGAATATTAGTAATAGGCCGACTTATAGTCGACTTTGCCGACTAGTCGGTACATCATTACTAACGAGTTATTCAACACCGTTCAAAGAAATTTTGTCTAATTTTATTAATAGCATGCTCACTGCGATGGACTGTTGGTTTGGACATGGAATACTATAATACATACATAATAGACCGGGGAATGTGTGGAGCCCGCGTAGCCACTTAAATGTCACTAACATGTCACTAATCAATTCACACGTATAAATGTCAACACGAGATGTGTTTTGACGTTACAATCGTTTCCGAATTTCGCAAATTATTTAGAAAATGCCAAATTGCACTCTATTTACAAGTAAATATGTATTAATCCGTCGAATCGGGTTTGTAGTAGTGATTAACTGATAATACGACGTAATTGCTTCTATATGCGCTCCCGGCGTAGCCGAACCTTGATACAAAATAAGGTTGACAGCCATTCTATTGTGTATTATAGTATTCTATGGTTTGGGAGGGCATACTTCTACCCTGGCATATCTAGTTATTTTTCCTTTAAAATATAAGTGACAAATAAACTTAAAACACAACTGATAATAAGTGACTTCTATTGCCCATGGACACCTGTAACCAACTTAAAAGAAGGCGACAAATGCGTTGTCATCTCTGAGGAACAAGATAAAATGCCTTACATCTTGTAATGATAAAGGCTCCCTTAGTGGGGAGAAACATATAAGAGAGTATTGACTACTCAAGACGGACTTCTACGTAGAAGAGGGCATGCAGCTCGAGAATTACGGATTGGAGATTTGTTTTACTTAAGGATGACGGCGCTCTAGGCATGAGTCGGATATATCAAAACGAATCTAAAATCCGATTTCAAACACAAATCTATTCGTATAGATAGCTCAAACTAGAAAATCCGATTTCAAAAATCGACCTAACTAGCTAAACTCTTACGATCTGTACAACCAAACCAATCAAAATCGAAAATCAAGTCGACAGTATCCAAATCTAACTGTTGCGTAGAAATCCAAATCCGTTTTTTTCAGTGTCTCTCGATGACGTGAAGTTTAAGATTCAGATTTCGGTTTTTTGGCTATGGTATATCGAAACCTATTACACATTGAGATATGGGATCAATATTATCCTTACTGCTTAGTACGTAAAGTCTATATTGGCTTTGCGAGATTATGCGTTGATGAATTTTTGGTTCAGTGTGCGATCAATATCACTCTCGTTGTTAAGTCGTTTAGGCTATATTTGCGAGATTGTGTGATGATTTATTTTTGTTTTTAGTTAAGTGTTTGCTTACTTAAAATAATTTTTGTTTTCATGTTGTTATGTATTAGACTTTAGACGTAAATTTAATCCTGGTGACAACTGATCGTATGCCTGTCAGTCGTAACAGTGTATTGTATTATATTATTTACTGATATTTATTGCCTTAATACCTTTTTGTTTAGTAAATATATGAAAAAAGTTTATAAAAATGTTTAAAAATCAGGAGTGAATTGTGTGTGAGTGTACGTTTTAAGTGAGTAAGTTATTGATCATAAAATAATTTATCCGCATTTGTCGGAAATATATCGCTCAAAATGCAATATTGTCGCGACATCCGTTCCGTGCGAACGATTTTTTTCAAAGACGGGATTAATAATAAATGAAAAGAGGTGTCGTCTAAAGTCGTCAAAAGTGGAGCAAATTGCGTTTTTAAACGCAAATCTTAATCGAAACAGATTCTAAAATAAAAATAAAAAAAATAAAAAAGCGAAAAGAAACCAAAAAAAGAAATATAATAAGAAATCATTGTAAATATACCGATTATTAAATGCGCCGGAAAAGTTCTAATTTCATAAAAAAAAATTCTGCTAGTCCTAAGCCTAGATTAAAGCATGTTGGATAATCTCGCAAATCTGTTTCTGTATTAGATTTGCGTTTGTCGTTTTGTTAACTTATAAAACGAAATCTAAGTACGCAAACGAATTGGCGTGGCTAAGCGATACTGAAATCGGATTTTTAAAAACGGATTTTGGAATCAATTTTGAAATCTGAAATCGGATAAATATCGGTTTGCGTTTAAATCCAAAAACGCCCATGCCTACGACGCTCCTCCACTACAGTGGAAACTCGGACGTTCGTGTCGTCTTTCGTGGTCTTTCTGCCCAGCAGGTTTCGGGCCTCGGGGTACACCCCTTTACCCGGACATTCTTCACGGCACACTACAGTGTGTCGGTCCTGGGCGCCTTTGGTGTTAAATGCGATGTTAATTTGATGGCGGATTTTTGCCGCAGTCGGGTAATTCATAAGCAAAAGGAGGTTATCGCAATTTTTGTGTTCTTGATTTTAGATAAGGTTAGTTATCTTATGGTAGTCTAAGTTAACCTTTCTGTGGCATTGTGGATTTTACTCAACTCACTAATCTATGTAGTAAGGAGTTCTCTTGGATAGGGTCACCCGTCGGGGGTCGTGTGTGTAACGGCACAAAGCCGTTAAGGTGTTCGTGTGGCCGTTGTGTGGTATCATATACTTTTACCCCGGACTAGACGAAATAAACCGTGTGGCAGATGTTCTGACGTCCACCGGAATCCTCAAACGTTGTATTAAATAGCTGTGTCCTCTCCTGGATCCCCAATACGACGACTGAAAGCTGAAACTTCCAGGGGGGTGAAGTATGTTGCGTGTAGATTGCCACATGACGTATGGCAACACCGTGCATGTGACCGAGTATCCATCGATAATCTCCATTTTTTAAATTACTTTTTCCGTTCTTCGTCAAAAAAAAAACATGGCGTTTTTTTACTTGAATTGTATCACTGCATTTAATTTATATATAGATGTAATAAGTCATATTAAGAAGTTTGTACCTATTGGAATTTGAACGCAGCACGCAGGGATATATAAATATATTTTTTTTATAAAAACGTTACCCCTACACTAGGATATTCTCCTGTATCGTGGGGGCAGTTTACAAACATAAATTGCACAGGGACAAACATCCAGACCCGGAACAATAATTTGTAGGCCATACAAATACTTGTTCCGTGCGGGATTCGAACCCGCGACCCCCAGCGCAGCCACTCATTGCTAAGCCACTACGCCACGGAGTCGTCATATATAAATATACTAAAAATTACACTTTTGTCTATACCATGAAGGGTGTTCTGGTGTGTCTCATAGCCCTACCTTCTTGAAACGGTACGGTACTATATTGATAAACGTAACGGTATTATATCGATAACTGTGCTCCCCGTTACCGGGTCACATCACAAAATTTTCAACAGTCTGTCAGCAGGGTTGAACTGTAAGCAAATGTTTGCGCACTTATGTCCCAATCTATTCTATTCTCTATATGTTCTAGGTTATTTGAAGTGTTGTTTGCACTGCATTTTTATTCTATGTTTGAGCACAACATGCATCAATGCTTTTGGCCTGAAGGTCTAGATAACAGGCCATAAAGTCCAAAAAATGCATCAGTGCTCAATGACAAAACTAAATAATAGATAACTAGCTGTGCCGGCGAACTTCGTACCGCCTAACAGTCAATGAATGTCGTGTTACCTTTTAGCTGAACTAATTTAGGCTTTGATGAACGTAATACAATGATACAAAATAAAAATACAGATAGATATAAAAAAGTATTTTATTATGATAAATAATACATACAGAAAGAGAATTAAAAAAAAATTAAGTACTTCAAACACGTGTCAGCAAAAAATCACTGAAATAAACGATTAACTCTTTTCATTCAAGCACCTTGTGGTAAACGACATTCTTTGTTTTTTTGTCAGGCGCAAGAACAAATAAAGCGGATGGTTTGCCGACACGTGAACATGCCACGTACAATTGACCATGAGAAAAACATGAATTTTCTAGATTGAGGCCACAAATAGTCAAGGATTGGCCCTGTGATTTGTTAATCGTCATGGCGAAGGCAAGACGAATCGGGAATTGAATTCTTTTATACTCAAAGGGCATATCCGTTGGGATCATCGGAATCCTTGGAATGAGAACTTCCTCATCTTTAAATATTACTTTGAGTATCGACGCGTGAATCACATTGCTCATCAGTTTTCTTATCACCAAACGCGTTCCATTGCACAGTTTTGGTTGGTTTAAATTTCTAAGCATAATTACTACCGAGCCAATCTTCAGTTGTAAATTGTGCGGTGGTAAACCAGGTACATCCAAGGAGTTTAAAAATTCAGTTGGATAATTAGTGGCTTCATCTTAGTTTGTTACACAGTCGATAGATTTGAATGAATGCAGCGTACCTGCGATTTGATTCTGAATTATAAAATTTAGGTCATCTACATCTTTATTTTTAGCCGCCAAAATT